GTGGTCAGCTTTGCGTTTTGGAATTAAAATTAGCAAAATGATTTACAAATAGTAGAATTCAATAAATGCTAATGAGATGGATGAATTGGTGTCACAATATATTGATCCTCACGCAACATAATAAATATTTTATGTCATATCTATGTGTGTGTCATAAATACAGCAAATACGTATCTGGGACCCTATTATATTATGCAAAATTAAACATCTAATTTAAATAGAAAAACACAGGTTGCCTTCCAAAACTGTTCCTTATTTCTCTGCCCAGCTAAATTGACCTAAACAGAAATTCTTACCAACTATAATGAATATCTACTGTGCCAGGTTGAATAATGTTCCCCTCAAACTCATATCCACCCAGAGACTCAGAACAGACGCTCCTTTGGAAACACGGCCTTTGCAGACGTGACAAGCTACTTCACAGGGAGATAATACTAGGTTAGCATGGGTCCTAAATCCGAGCCCGGAGAGTTATAAGAACACGATGTGAGGCTGCAGAAACACAGGCACACGGAGGAAGGAGGCCCGGCGAAGGCAGGGGCAGAGCCTGGAACGATGCAGCGGCAAGTTGACCAACACCGAGAACTGCCGGCTGCCAGCAGAGGCTCGGGGAGGGGCAGGAAACATGTTTCTCCTCCCTCCGAGCCTCCGAAAGGAAGGAACCCTGGGAACGCCTCCGTCTCAGACTTCGGCCTGCACAGCTGGGAGAGAATGAACCCCCGTCATCTTGAGACACACAGTTGGTGGTTCTTCGTTCCGGCAGCCCTAGTGAACTAACGCACATTTACACGCAGCGTCTCTTGCCCAGGGTGCATGAGAGCTGCGGGAACTGGTCTGTGGTCCCAACGAGAGAGTCTTCCCATTAACACAGCATGAAAAGGACAAAACACTGTTTTCCTCCTCAGTCTGCATTGGGCTTCTCCTGACAGGGTTTTTCCCCCAGCCTGGCACTCACTTTTCACCGTGATTTGCACTGGGTGACACAGCTAGGTTTTATTACGTATTCATCCAAATTGGAGGCTTATATAAAAATTACTTCAGTTGTGAATATCCTGGTTTCCCAACGTGCTGACCTTCTTCTTATGAAGACTCCGGTTAAAGTCCGCTTAGTATTTGTCATCAATGAAGGCCCATTACCAGCACTTTAATCAATACATTGTGTTGGGCTTTTGTTACATAAATGTTGGAGCATTGCAGCTATAAATGATTTTTTTAAAATTATTAGGCCGAGCCTTCTCCCATCTCCCTCACAGAGCCCCTTTGGTATACCGTAAGAAGATTAGCATTGGTGTCTCGGGAGACGGCCTACTGAATCAAACACAATGGGGAACACCTCCAAGTTTTAAAAATAACAGCCTGCCCTTGTTTCAACTTAACTTGCAGGAAACCCGAATGCAGAGGGAGCAGAATAATCTAAAATGAGTTTAAATTCATTGAAACTGAAATCCGTATTATCGTCAAGACAAGCCAGGAAACAAAAACAGCAGAAGCTCCAAACGGCTTCAAAGCAGCGGCCTGGCACTAACCTTTTCCACCTGGAATAGAGTGAACTTTTTCTTTCAGCCTTGAGAAGAACCTAATTTCTCAGATGACAAAGCAATCATGGAAGAGCTGATCATGGAAGAGGGACAACACACGCCCCAGGGGACCGACAGGAGAAAGCGCTCCGGCCGGAGCCGGGCTCACACTGAGACTTCTCCCTCCCGGGTTCTGGCAAACAGAAATCAGAGGTGTACAACCCCATTCCCTAACCTGCAGGTTTCACACAGATTGGAGACAAACCCTCGAAGGGGTTTTTGGGACGATGAGAAAATTCATTTCTCGCTCCCCTAAGAGTGATCAAAGCCAGCTTTCTCTTTGCAGGGACCTTCGAAGTACGCAATACGGCAATGCCTGAGAGAGCAAAATGGGAGAGCGTATTCATCTGATCTGTTTTTCCCCACTCAAGGCTCCAGGTCCCTCTTCTCATTGAAAAATCAAACAAAACCCTCGAGGCAACAGTTTTCTAAATTCAAGAAAATACGACCATCTTCTAGGACACACTCGAGCCTGAATTCCAGGACAGGTAAATCTATATCGCCATAACTTTAGGAAAGCTGTCCAAGATGAGTATGTTTAACGCACCTCTTTCCTTAGAATACACATGCGTGCTTTTCTGAGAAAAGAGATAAATGTAATTTGCGTTCTTCAAAAGTACACAAATCAAAACTAATCTGGACACTGGTTAGGAAAATGACCCAGTTAAGGATCTGGGGAAGGACATGACCTGTCATTAGATTTTTGACAGTAGAGACAAACTCTCCAGAATGATTAACATGATGTTTTCCAAACCCAGGGAAAACCCAGGGAAAAATTTTAGAGACTGCCATTCACAAAATAAGTGTTATAATTTGTTTCGATTATAACAAGAAAAATAGGAAGCAGATGTTTCGGTTCTTTTACACTGTGTCATCCCATATGGTAGTCAGTAGTTACATTTTTTTTTTTATTTCAAATGACTTAAAATTACATTAAAAGTTTAGCTCTTCAGTGTCTTGCCTATATTTCAAGTGTCCCATAGCCAGACACACCCAATGATTATAGCAGGTCTAAAACAGTTGAATCTTTGCATAGAGGTTCTATTGGAAAGCACTGCTTTGGAGGCACTTTCGTGTCTTTTTTTTCTAGAAAGATATTGACATTCGTATGTTTCGTGTTGCTGTTGTTAACAAATTACCAAGAGCATGGTGGCTTGAAACAACAGAGGTTTGTTCTTTCCCAGTTTTGGAGGCCAGACCATCCCAAGTCAATTTCACTGGGTTCAAGTCAACACGGGGCAGGGGCGAGGAATCCACCCCTCCTGGCCGCTGACCTTCCTTACGCAGAGTGAAATGTCTCCATCTCTGCCTACGTGGTCTCCTCACTCTGTGGTTTCCTCGCGTCCATCTTTTCTGTGGGTGAAACACCCCTCTGCCAACCTCTTGGAAGGATACAGGTGATGGCACTTAGAGCCCACCTGGATAATACTGACTGATCTCCCCATGTCAAGAGCATTAACTTAAACACACCTGCAAACACCCGCCTTATAAAGTAGCAGGTGTTAGAACCTGACGTCCCATTTGCTGCAACCTGCTCCACTGCTATTTTTCAATTTCCATTTTACTTTATTTGAATCTACGTTGCTGATTTGTCATTTACTCCTCTGGCATCTACAGGTATAAATGTTAATACAGTTTCTCAAAGCGTATGGTTTGTTTAGTTCTCATTCTCCTGAAGATCTAAATCTGCCTCCCTACTCATTATATTTGCTATAATAAAGCGATGACCAAATAAAACAAACCACTGTACAATGATAAAAATGATCCCTGTGGCCCCTGAGTAGTGAGCCGCTCAGTTTGCCCATGAATGAATAAAAAACAATGTAATCACTGTGGCAAGCTACTATTTTCACTAATCCCTGCCACTAAATTCAGACAAAGGTGAAAGCTGTACAGATTTTTTTTTTTATTATTATGAACTACCCAATGACTGATGAATTTTAAAAAGCTTGCCTGATAGCACATTTGCCACTTAACTGGTTGGAGCGAGCTTTCATTTTTATGGGTCTACGGGAAGGGTGAAGGGACAGCGTGACAGGAGGTCCCTGCCTACAGCTGATACCCAAATTCCCCACCCTGTTCACACCCAGCATCCCTCCTCCCCCGCCAACGGCAAGCACCGGAACAAAATGTCTCGGGAGGAGGACAAAATATTTTAAAAGAGAGTTCATATTCTAAAACCAGTGTTTGCAAGGCATGTGTTTTGCAGATTGAATTTATACTACCCAGTGGCCTCAAACAACCTTGAACAATCTTTAGAGTTATTGTATGTTAGCAAAGTAATTCTGTGCTTACAGAAGTAAATAAGCAAAGCTAAATCATCTCCAAAATCCACCACCAACCTTGGCCTGAAAGAAGTTCCACAGATAAAGACTTGAAGGATTTGAAGTCACAGGCAAGAAGGTGGATGAGTGTAAGGATGAGGAGGAAGGACAGGCAGGTAAGAAGGCTAAGAAGCAGAAGGAGGAGGCGGAGGAGGCATGGCAGAATGGAGGAGGAAACACGCACTATGGTAAAAAAAAAATAAGCAGAAACAGTAGTGAGCAGAATTAAACCCCCCAAAATCCACATACTGGAATCCCGAGAACTATGTATAACGTATTTAAGAAATACAAAAAGGGAGTTTAAATGATTCTAAAAAAAAGATGACCACATAACTTCGAAAAGGAGCAAATAAAACTTAGAGCTATGCAGAATGTAACTGACATTACAACTCAGTGTTTGGCTTTAAAATAAAGATGCGATGTCCTGGCCGGGGTGGCTCGGTTGGCTGGAGCATCGTCCTACAAACTGGAAGGGAGCGGGTTCAATCCCCGCTCAGGGCACAGGCCTCACTTGTACGTTCAGTCCCTGTCTGGGGCGTGTGTGAGAGGCAACCCATCGCTATTTCTCTCGCGCACCAATGTTCCTCTCACACACTGACGTTTGTAGAACTCTCTCTTTCCCTTCCTTTTCTTCCCTCTAAAATTAATAAGCATGGCCTCGGGTGAGGATTAAAAAACTAAAAAATAAAATAAAATAGTGATGCTATAACGGAGGGAACTGGAAAAATGCTCTTAGAAATGTATCCAAAATCCATCACGAACAGCCAAAAAGGTGAATAATAGCACAGGTTTCGTCTTTCTAAATTTTTCCTAAGACTCCAGGCAATGTCATGAATAAGTTTTGTTGCTGTCCTCTGTTGAACGAAACCACTCCCTAACCCTGAAGACATTCTTCAGGTAGTCTCACAGGTGTGTTTGTAAATATATGTAAATGCACACTTATAACGGGGGGGGGGGGGGGGGAACAACCTACATTCTATTTACATGTAAAAACAGAGGGCAGTTTACTGCCCGAGAAAGCGAGCAAGGTTAAAGGATTGGACATAAAGAGGTTACAACGTAAACGACGCCGGGCAAACCGCGCGCACACCCGACTCACAGTAGGAGCAGCCGTAGACCTCGATGCGGAGCCCGATGCGGCCCTCGCCGCTCCAGTCCAGCGGCACGAAGCGCACGTGGCGGGCGGTGACCGCGTGCTGCAGGTCGTGGCGCACCACGCCGTCGGAGTTGGTGTTCCCGGGGAACGCCTGCGGAGACAGCGGGTTACAGGTTAGGGGGACACCTTAGGAACAACCACGTCCTCTGTCTGCTAAACTAAGCGGAAAATTTCTCATCCAGTGCAGGACGTTAGAGGCCCCACACCGAAAGCGATGTGGAAAAAAAGCTTGCTTCTATGTTTCCTTCATCTGAAAACCAGTGCAGTTTTCCGTGGAAACTGAGCCAAAGTTCCCGGGGTCCTTTCTTCGGTGTAAATATCCCCCAGTGTTAAAAGAATGAAACGCCACTGCAGTATACAATCAACAAGTTATCCGTACTAAAAAGTTAGATCCACAATGAATAATTTTTCCTAAAATCCAGCCGTATTTCTTGTTTTTAAAAAATCCGCTCCACATTGCCTTCCCATGACAACATGAGAAACCTGACAACTTTTTCAACATCGTTTAGGTAAAAAGAACCATTGACTGTGCTGTGTGTGGTTTGTTTGTTTGTTTGTTTGTTTTTTAAAGAAATAACAGACGAAGAAACCCATAGTCAGGAGATCCTGGGTCATGGAGCTCACACCACGGGCCACGTGACTAGGGACAAGGAATCGAGAGTCAATACCAATGGGGATTGTATGGAAAAATTTTTAAAAAAGACATATATGATATTTCAAAAGGAGAACGGATAATGTGTTTAGAGAAGGGAGCAGGGGAAAAGATACGAACCTATTCCCAGACATTAACGTACAGGCACCAGCGGGGAAAACAGGGAGGGGGCCCGCTGGGTAGACAGCCGCTCTTTCTCCTCCGCAAACTCTTCTCTTTGAGTAACAGCCCAGGATGTCCTTTAAAAGGCCACCCATTCAGCACTCTCAACCCTCCTGACTCAGGGGAGGCAGATGCCACTCGGTAGCATGGGGCAGGGGTGGGGGGTGGCAAGCACCTAACTCAGTGAGACTCAGTTTTAGCGCCTCTGCTGGAACATGCAGCTATTTACTGATTTACGTAGTCATGCACCCACTTGCTTATACATTCACTCAGCGAACGCCTGGCAGTTGTATCTGTACCACATGGTACTCAGACCACTGGGACACAGGATTGAGACATACGGAGTTTCCATTTTCATGGCATTTATGTTACTAAAGTACATGGTGGGGCAGCTAAATAATATATAATGAATGCATATTACTAATACTGTTACATATTATGCTTAACATTATATATCATATAGTACATACTACCTATTAATAATACACTGTTGTTATACATTGTATGTATTAGACCACATATGTGCAAAGCCCAAACTGTTTCCAACACCCTGAGCACACCTGGCGTGTCTAGGGGGCAGTAGGGAAGCCAGTGTTTTGGGGGCACATGAAGAAGGGTGGATTGAGGGGCTTCTTGGGGACGTGAGGTCATGCAGGAGGGCCTGCAGGCCATAAAAACGGTTCAGATTTCATTTTAAAAGTGCTGGAAGGAAATCCACTGGAGAGTTTTCAGCAAGAAAGGTACACATCTCACAGTTCCTAAGAGGGAGGCCTGAAATCTTCCTCCCCAATTAAAGTGAAGTTCCTAGGAGAACAGCAGACTGCAGCACAATATAAAGCATACAGCCTGGTGACACATGCTCCAGAGGAGTGGGGGCATTCAGGGACAAAGGAGGAACCGCGATGCAGAAGTGAGCGCTGAGGAGCAGCAACAGGCCCGGCGCTGGCCCTGCTGCTCTCACAAAGAGGTGGGTGTCAGCGCAAAGCCAAGTCGGCACCGAGGTGAGGGCGTCATTTTAGCACCTAAATCCACAGCGTGCTCTGGGCTTCTTCATGACTGGACTTGGTTCCTCATTTGCTTTTATTTTAAGCAGTATGAAAAAATATCAACCAACAGAGCTATCTGAAGGGAAAGATAATTAGCGAAGACTCAGATCCATTGCCTTTGAGATTCCACCGTCCCAGTAAAAGGCCATGTAGGGAATCTGAGAGTCCACGATGTTAAGGAGGGCAGCGTTGTATCCAAGCTTAGCCTTCTGGGGAAGGTGCATTTATTATTTATGAACAAGTACATGGCACAGGGTATTTTCTTCAGGATTCACGGCATCATTAGATTGTGTTTTTTTTGTATTTCTTTTCATTTCCGAGTATACTGAGATGTAAGATACTACCCTAACTGAAGTTTAAAACACTGCCAAAGAATGGCAGAGGCATTACTGATCATTGTCTTGAATATAAAGGCATAAATATACAAGAAATGTCTCCTCCTACATACCACATCTTGTGTGTACTGCACACACAGTTTTGTGCTCACTATACACAGGATTATTGTTCCCATTATTATACCCATGGTATGTACTCATTATATACCCATTATTCCCATGTATATGAGCATCCTCATTTTTCCCTCAAAAATGTGGGCAAAAAAGTGCACATTATACATGGCAAAATATGGCAGCAATCTGGGAGAAAGTTAAGGATCACAGAAGAAGGTGTAGCCATTGATTCAATAAAAACATCTAATATTTCTATATCACTTTATTATTTAAAGGGTTCTAGTGCACACTGTATTGTTTGTGAATGACAGGAAACTCTAAATTTGGGAGGGATGGTATTTTTTTCAAATTAGGAAACTTAGGCTCAGAAGAATGAGAGGACCTACTAGATGCTGAACAGCCACCAAGGGCAAATCAGGGCAAGTCACAAGCTCATCCGATCTTCTCCTAAACTTTGAGAATCGAATTTTCATCTGGGAATAAAGGTTTTCCCATTTAGGTGCAATGCACTTATTTTTAATGTTTTACATTGCATCTCTGAATGTCATAGAGAAAGTTTGGTAATTTTTATCATACATTTTAATGTTAACATTGGATTTCCAGCCCATTTACTAGATAGCATATTTTGCCTGCATAGTTTACTTCTCTCTGCATTATTTCCATGAATTTTGACAAAATTACTATTTTTCTTTTTCTCACTTTTTTTTACCAAACCATGCTCCTACCGTGGTCATTAGCGAAAGTTCCTCCTCAGTTTCACTACAGCTCTTTAGAAGTCTGAAAGACACTTCTACTAAAAGGAAAGGAAGACTGGTCAGCTATAGTGCAGAGAGCAGTTTAGGAGTAATGACTATAATGTCATAGGCTTTGAAAAGGACCTTTTCTTTAAAAAAAACACATAATTTGACTTTCACATTCACTTGCAGCTTTTTGTACAGGTATAAAAAGGAAAAAAAAAAAAAAACCCAGAGAAAGACATAAAGCTATTTTTTACAAAACCTGTAAGGTTCAGAAATCTACATCAAAATTAAAAGATTAAAGTGAATTTGGATTTTTCTTGACTAGAACAATATCCTCTAAAATTTAAACAAATGTCACACAATACCATAAGATTTGTGAATACGTGAAAACATCAAATTCATCACGGTAATACTGAAAAGTCAATTTACGGAAGGTTGTGAATTATATGTTGTCACTTTTAAATCTCCTTTCCTGGCTGTGATTTGTGTATATGCTTAAAAGGATAGTTTTGTTTTGTTTTACTAACATAACATGTATATAACTTGCAAAGCTTTACGCTTGGTAAAGCTAAGAACAATATAATACAATGTTAAACCCATAGTATGACTTTATAGTCCTATAAATTATTAAGCATACAGCAAAGGGTTGGAGCTTTTTTGAAATAACACTACGGTGAGTTGTTCAGAAGGCTAACTTTAGAATAACCTAAACATCACTGAAATTTTAATACCTGAAAATTTTCCACCATGTCCCTTAAATATGTCTTCTAGCCCAAATAATAGCTCGGGCAGCCTAAGAGAGGGTGAGGCCACCTTTTTCTTTAAGGCACCAAACAGTAAATACAGGGTCTAGTACAAATCATGTCCTTTTTTATTACAAAATCTTTTACTACAAAATCATAAGCAAGTGACTCTGTAACATAACAATATCACACGCAGGCACACCGTCTGACCTTTTAGGTGAAATGTTCAAATTAAAACTATAAATTATTACGCCTATATTATTACCCTACCAACCACAGTCAAGCAGGCGTTGCTTCTGCCAGACCCTGTATTTTAGGATTTTCAGGCCGTCCACCTACCCCCCCAGACCCATATTCTCTTTCTTCTTCCCTGTTACTTTTTAAATGACACAAAACTCACAGACAGACAACAGCGTGGTGATGGCCAGAGGGAAGGGGGGTGGGAGGAGGTAGAAGAGGGGAAACGGGGGATAAAAGGTGATGGACGGAGACTTGACTTGGGGCGGCGACCCCACCAGACAGTGCACAGATGCCGGGTTACAGAACTCTACCCCGGAAACCAGTGTCACCCCAATCAATTCCCTAAGGAAAAGAATAAACACGTAAAACCCATCCGAGCGCGGAGACTTGACAAGGACAGGCGGGCACCAGGGTGCCTACGGGCTCCAGTCCGTCAGCTCCTGATCGAAGAGAATTTTTCCAATACATAAGCCCTCCCCTCGACTCAGACGGGAGGCCGAAGGCCGAAACCATCGGAAGACTGTGCCGCCGCTTGGCATTTAAAAGCCAGTCACCCTCGGAAAAGCATCCCCTCCTCCCCGAGAGCGCGTCACTTCCCAGACTGAAGGGAAACGCGTGGGGGGTGAGGTGTGTGCTGTGTGATACGCGAACCATCATTTTCCTTCAAATTCGCTATTATGGAGTCTAACGTGTAACTTACAGAGTACTTCATGAAGACAGCAAACATATTGAGTCCCCCCTAAAGCTCCACGTTTCAAGGCACCTAAAATAAAGGCCCACAAGCCCCTGCAGCAGGTGACTGAGACCGTCTTGGTGCCCAGGTTGTGCCTGAGGATGGACAGCCTGTCCAAGACACTCGGCTGCTGTGGAGGGGGCCTCGGAGAAGACGCGGCGCTCCTGGCAAGTCTCCTCGGGGGCGATTAGGCGAGAAAAACATCCGCACACAAATTCTTCCTCCCGGGAGCGGTCTTGGTCTCTTAAAGCGCAAAACGTCGCTGCTACAATAGAAACATGTGCTGATCGCTCCCTAAGTTGCTGCCATAAACCTGTGATCCCTAT